CCCTTTTTTTCCCCTTTCCCTCCTTTTCCTTTCTCTTTCCCTTTTCCCTCTTTTCTTTTTTCCCCTTCCTCCTCCTTTTTCTTTTTTTTTTTATTTTTCCTTTCTCCTCCTTTTTCCTTCTTTCCTTCTTTCCTCCTTTCCTCCTTTCCTTCTTTCTTCCTTTCCTTCTTTCTTCCTTTCCTTCTTTCTTCCTTTCCTTCTTTCTTCCTTTCCTCCTTTCCCCCTTTCCTCCTTTCCTCCTTTCCTTCTAAAGGGGGACTTTTACTTTTTTCCTTCCTTTTTTCCCCATTTCCTTCCTTTTTTTCCTTCCTCCTCCCCTTTTTTCCCTTTTTTCTTTTTTTTCTTTTATTCTCCCCTTTCTTCCTTCCCCTCCTTTTTTTTCCCTTTCCCCACTTTTTTTCTTTTTACCTCTTCCCTTTTTTCTCTTTTTTCTTTCTTTCTTTTTCTTTCTCTCTTTTTCTCTCCTTTAGTAACAATTTCTAGCCCAGATACCGAGTTTAATGCCTGGATCTGGGAAGGAACATGTTGTCGGCAGATTGCTGCCTGCAGGGCTCAGAGGAAGAGGGATTTTTACTGGCTGCAGCTAATTGGCAGAATAAGCTGCCTTAAAGCTGATCAAATCCCGTTGCAAAGGCAGGCAGGGATGGGGAGCAGGAATCCTGCTACTAAAGCCCCGCTCTGCCAGGGCTTCCCGGGCGCTGGCGGGAGGACCGTCGGAGCCGTCCCGCTCATCCCTGCCATACTCAGGGACACTGGGACATGACTGTCCCCGGGTCAGGGCAGCGGGASCTGCCCGAGGCTGACGCTGCCCCCCGGTCCGGCCAGCGCCATGGTGCCCGGGCGCTGGAGGGCTGAGCAGGGGATCGCGGTGGCTCCCGACTCCTGTGCCGGCAGCTCCGCAGCCGTGAGCACCGCGTTTTGGGATCGGGAGCCAGAAACTACCCGCAGGATTGTGCGGAAGAGCAGTTAACTCCTTTACTCGCCTGCCGCTGAGCAAGGAGCTTTATCCCACAGCCAACCTACTGCCCTTCTCCCTCGTCCCCCATCTCAGCCTCTTTGCTGGAAGCTGAGGGCTCCGGGAGCAGGAGGGGAGCCTGTAGGTGAGGAAGGAGGGGGAAAAAGTGCAGGTTATCACAGGGTCTGTGTGCGTTCCCTGGCCGGACGAGGTTGTCCTGCCTCGCATGAGCCCATCCCAGCAAAGCTGGCGCCAGAGATGCTCGGTGCCGAGGTGACTGCAACCCACCCGTGACTGTGGCACCGTGGTCGGCGCTGCTGTCACTCCACCRAGGGGGCCTGTGCTCAGCGCTGGTAGCAGGGTCCTCACACAGCCCTGCACCACCTAGAAAGCCAGTTTGATGCATGCCTGGAGCTACCAGACCCAACCAACACGGAGCGTGCTGTGACGGGGGGTACGGAGACTGTGAAATACATGGGTGCGGGTTAACGAGCCCCCTGTCCTTAAATCCTTTGGCTGCCTTTAATTTAGATTAATTTGCCTGGATGTTGCTGAGTCTACAAGCCCTTGGAGGCATTGGTGTGGGTGGCGGGAAGGATACGGTAGTATGCAGTAATTAGGGTTGACGAGAGGGCTTTTTAACTAAGTGAAATGTTGTCCTTGCGTCGCGTTGCTGTCTGCTCCCCTGGCGCTGGGGAGCAAGCGAGAGTCGTGCAGGGCCTGGGGGCCTGGAGCTGCCTTTGCAGAGCGTTCGCTAGCAGGGCCGTTCCTCGGGAGATGCGACACCCTTCCTGGATGTCCCTGCTCCTGCACTAGGGACGGCTGAGGGGACACATGCTTTTTCCCCGGCTGGTGCTGGTTTTAGTGTAAAACTGGACTAGTTCTTTGCTGATGCACTAAGTTGTACATAGGAGTGGATACACATCCCTGTCAAGCGCCATACCCCGGTATACTGGGGACTGGGGTGTTTGGGATCCCATGGCACAGTCGCTCTCCCCATCCCCATGCTGAGGTGAAAAATCTTGGGACAACTTGGAAACAGAGGGAGAGGAGCAGCCTGCCGGCTGGGCTAGGGCACGTTGCTGCGTGTGGCGACGAGCAACAGAGCCTCTTAGCTGGACACAGCAGCAACACTGTCCTYGTCTCGCAGGAACCTGAGGCACAGGAGGAGCGGGACTGAGGGTGAGGTAAGAGGCCAAGGCGCCCGTGCAGGGCAGTGCTCCTGGAGCATCCTGTGGTCCGAGGCCAGGACATATTTGCTGTGTGGTGGCAAGTGCCACAGGTTGCCGCAGCCTCGGCAGCAGTGGGCACTTCTGGGCTCTTCCCGATTTCAAGTGGGGCCACTGGGAAGAGAGACTGGGCAGGACTGGAAAGAGTCACCTTCCCTCCCAGCTAGTGACGGCTGGGACAGGGGGTGCGCATGCCTGCAGGAAAAGTGTATTTTCTCCAAGAAAAAAACTGACTTGTACTTAAAAACTGGCATGTATTAAAATGGCTTAGTCTGATTTAGCAGCCCGAGATTAGCTGCGTGAGCAGAAGGCCTTTTTCTGGCAGCGCCTCTGCTTCTGTAAGAGGGACRTGACTCTGGAAACGCCACCCCAAACCTCAGGGCATTAACACCAGACAGGGCAAAGCCAGCTAAGCTTGACCCAAGGCTGAGATCAGAGTAACTAGCTCGGTTAGGAGTGTTGAGGGCTCCAGTCCAGCAAGCGCATCCTGCCGAGGTTGCCTGAAACTCCCTAAACATCCGTAGAAAGTGCAGCACAATCAGACACACGGGTAAGAACGAGCTGAGGTGCCAAGACCGAGCGTGTGGCGGCAGGCGGCCGGCTGCGCAGATCTGATCCCTTGTCGGGGGACACGTCTCCACGCCTGCAAGCTGGGGAGATGCAAAGAGCTCTAAAGCGACCGCGAAAGCAAGTTTCATCTGGGGCTTTAAAAGGCGCTTCTGATAAATTAACTGCAACATGTCACTTGAATGCTTTTTTCCTCTCCGAGTACCTTTGCCAGGCTCTGCCTCCCCTGGTACTGAAGGGAGATGTGTATCAGYGGTGCCTGATTACACCTTGGAGCTGCGAGCCTCCAGCTGGGATGCGTCAACACAGCGGCAGCTCCCGCTGCGAGACCCTTTCTGACGCYGGAGCAGGTGACACGTTGACAGGGCAAATGCTGAGGGGGATGCGCCGGCTGCGGGACGGCTCAGCATCCTCACGCGCGTGGCTCTGGTGACAATRTTGTGAATGACCTGCCCGGAGCAGTGGCAGGTGGTTAGAATTTCCTGCGTGACCATGTGGGCCTAATTTAATTAGAGGGTTTAAGAAAGCTCCTTCAGGAAAAGAGGGAGGAGCAGAAGGTTTGGAGAAGGGCATGTTGGAAAGATGGTGAGAGAAGCTGTTGGCTCAGCGGCTCGTGTCCTGAGGAGGAGTTGAGCTTTTCCTGCCTGCCTGCAMACTGAAAGACCAAAAAAATAGCGTGGCTTTAAATGGAAGCTTGAGCCAAGGTTGGGGTGTACATGAGCTGATGAGTTGGAGCTGATGAGCACAGGGAATGGGTCCAGGGAATGGGTCGTGTCAGCTCCTGGCYACGGGGCAGAGGAGTTGGCATGAAGCTGGCGTTTCCTGGGGTCYGTGCGGGGTAGATGGCTGCGATCCTGGTCTGCGAGACTTGTGTGCTTGGTAGTTYTAGGACCTCTTTTTCTCTGAAATGCTTTTATGAGAACCGCCCCAAAATGCTGTCTTGTCGCTGTGCCCTTCCTCGGAGCACAGGGAGTGGGAGCAGCRGAGGTGGTCGGGGCTGGCAGGGCAGCCCCGGGAGCCGCCACGCAGGCGGAGAGGGCAGGGCTGGTCCCCAGCTCTGGGGATGAGCCCCGTGTTCCCGGAGGGAATCTGAGGAGGATGTGAAGTGCTTGTGTCCTGACAGCTGGTGGGAGGGACCCTGTGCTCCTGGGGACCCTGAAGGAAGCAAGGGTACCAGGTAAGTTGTCACCTTGGGAGCGCTGCTGAGAGATCCCTGCTCCTTTGAGCAGCCGTGGGCCCTCTGGCCTCTGAAAGCCAGTGCACCCAAAAGATGCCAGCGCAGTGTCTCTTTGTCTCCCTGCTCCAGGTGTGAAAGCACAGAGGAATATGATTACGATTACCTCAGCATCAATAAAACCTGGGTCCTCACCCCCAAGGCGCAGGAGACTGATGCCACGCAAATCCTCAACTCGCTGCTGAAGAACTATGACAACAAGCTGAGGCCYGACATTGGCAGTAAGTGTCCCTCAGAGCCACCCTTTGGGCAGCAGGGCCACAGGTGGTGACCTGCCCAGGGGTGTCCTGTGTTCTCCTCGTGGCTTTGTAGCTGCTGTAGTTGGGATTTCTAGGCAGGTGAAGCCACCGTGCTYGTGAACGCTCCCCAGCTTCTCCAGCCCCCTGTCCTGTGTCCTTTGCTGATGACCCCAGCCTCCTGCTCACATCCCCGTTTTATTTCCTTTGCAGTCAAGCCCACGTTTATCGACGTGGATATCTACGTGAACAGCATTGGGCCAGTATCTGTCATCCAAATGGTGAGTGGACATCGTTGGGAGAGTGTCATGAGTGTGAAAAAACCTAAGAACGAGGGGCTGGTTCTGCTGTCTGGTGGGCTGCATCCTGCTAGCTGGATGTGGCAYGAAGAAGCTCTCCTCACAGGAAGAGGTGGATTTGTGCCCCTTTTTGGGGAAAATGAGCTCTCAACTGCTGATTGCCGGAGCTAGGGAGGTTTTACAAGGTCCCCGTGTGTTGTAGTGGTGGCAGTGACCAGCCGTGCTCAGGACGGTGATGCTGATGCTCCCAATTCTGTGATGTGCAGACAGGTATCGCAGTGCAGAGCCTTGGCCTTGGCACAAGGGAGCTGGGGTTCTGGGGGCGAGCTYGGAGCCGGCTGCGAGGGGAGCAGCTCCCGGCAGGCCTGAAATAGGTATCCGGAGACGGTTGCTATGGCAATGGGCCGCTGGTGTGAAACGTGGGTGCCGGGGCCTGCGCCTCCCGTGCTGGGGAGCGGCAGGCGGGGCGGCCTGGATCCAGAGGCTCCGTTTCCAGCTGCTCCCGCCTTGGACTGACGGCGGCGCCGCTTCCGCAGCTTCCGCTCGTGGCTCGGGCCCTGCTGCACYGGGACTTGTGGAAATGTTTGGTGGAAATGCTCTTTCTGCTGTGAAGAACTTCCAGGTCTTGCAGCTCTGGAGAACAACTGTCAATTGCTTTCCACGGGAAACTTCTCTTTTTCTGCCTTTTTTATTTCCCCCCCCGCCCCCATCTTCTGTTTCATCAAAAATGCTGTCATGCTTTGAAAAACAATTTTGGCCATAGGGCAGTGTGGTCACAGGGAAAGGTAGCCAGGACAGTTTGGTTCTTCCTGTCTTTCTTAATGCAAAACTGAGCAGAAGTAAAAACAGCCTCCCTCAAACCTGAAAAGAGGGTATTTACGGAACAGGGATGTTCTGATAAAGTAAAAGAATTCTGTTGAACAAGCCCATTTGGTGGAGAGGGGTAGAGGTAGGAGAGGCATCCCAGGAATGGAGAGGCATTGTAGAGGTAGCGCTGCTCTCCCTCCAAAATGCATTTCAGCCTTGATGACTGAGCATGTGAAGGCACCATCAGGAGGCCCACCAGGGAAGTCCTCAAGTCAAAAAAAATTTCCTCTGGTTGTTGTCGTGGGTGTTTCCTGGAGGTGTGACTTTGTGTGGGCTGAAGTTACTTGACTGAGCCCCGTGAAGGGGGAGAGGAGCAAGGGGTGGGGAGAGTACCATCATGTTGCTGACCTCCATTCTGCTGTGGCCCTCCGAGCAGGACCAGTGATGTGGAGGGAGTGGGGAAGAGACCCTCRTGAAAGGGGCTGGGTCCATGGGAATGTGTTTGGGTGATGCACCCTCCTACTGATGGAGAACGCAGACTGTGGCAGGGATGTTGTAGGCGACTGTCCTGTCAGGTTTACACTGTCCTAGGATGTGCCAGGCAAAATACAAAGCAAAACCACTCTGTGCTACTTCATTCCTACTTCTTTCCCCTTCTCCTGTTTCGTTCCATGCCCCTGGGATGCCTTGCTCTGCTCCCCGTTACAGCATCGCTGCATGGCCGTGCAGCTTGAAGGAGGAAGGAATGGCTTACAAATCCAGTCTTGCTTCCATCTCCTCTCCGAGATGGAGATACCAGGCGTTGCTGCTAGATTGGTTTCCTAAGAAACGAAGCCTATGCAGTGGTGATGTGTACGTGAGTGCGTGCGTCCATCCCAGCGCTCCAATGACTYCTGATCCACTGGCCCAGTACCAGCCATGTTTGGCAGCATGTAGGCATTGTATGTATTTGGTTCCTGCAGTTTTTGTGAAAACAGGATGCCAGGCACAGATAATAGCCATCCTGTGGGATGGTAATAGCCATCCCCAATGTGGGAACAGTTATTGTGCGAGCTCAGCCCTGCCTAGACACCAGAGAATCCAGAGTGCTGCTGAGGACAGGCCTGTCTGTTCCTAGAGCAGCTGAACCAGGGTGCTTGGGCTCTTTCTAAGAGTCAGCCAGATAGCTGAGCGCTCCTAGGCTGGGGGTGTTGTGCTGTGTCCATCACAACCGGCTGCACAGTCTGCCCAAGGTGCCCRGATGCTGCCAGTGCAGGTGTCCTTGCTGGGTCCCAACCCACCCCTTGAAAGGCAAATCTGCAGCAGTGGCCAGTGGTTTAAGGACATTTCTGCCCTGGAATCCCTAAGCAGGCTCTGCAACCTTGTTCTCTCACCATCCCTTTAATAACTTCTGAATCTGTCATGCTTTTGAGCTTGACAGCCTTTCTCCTTGAGATCCTAGGTGAATACTGATGATACTAAAGAAGGCTGCACCCAAATSCTATAATTTTGGGTGGCAAACTTCTGCCATCTGTGTGGCTCATGCTTCCCCTTGCTCATGAGAGGTTGCATCCTGCTATAGCTTCTCCTAAAGAAATAAGAAAGGGGTTGCAATAAAGCCATGGTGCCACTGCTGGGCTTGGCTGATTTGCCTGCTCTTGTTTTGCTTTTTACTTTCCACTTGTGAAACAAATATAGCCACTCTGTGGGTCCTGCTGGTGTCGAAGGTACCGTCCAGATTGGCACTGCTGGGCAGGAGTACTTCCCAATGCCAGCGCTCTTCTCCTTTCCCACAGGTCTGGGGAGCTCTGCTTCCTCTCGATCCCAGGTCTGTCTTGGATGCCAGATCTCCACCATATACCACCATAACCGTGGCTCTTAGCATAGCCCCGTGCGGTCTGGGCATCCCAAGCCAGAAGCTACAGGACTCTGACAGCCTGGTGGAACTGGAGACTCTGGTTTAAGCAATATAGTTCCAGTATTAAGTAGGTGTCCTGTGGTCTCTTGCCCTCCCCTCAAAGAGTTAACTGCTCTCTGCTGCCTTGAGCCTGGCAATACCCTGGCAGTGCCTGGAGGCTGCTCCTGTGTAGCCGTGGCTCAACCTCAAAGTGATAAATCATGTCAGGATGCAAAACTGATTCAGGTCCTTAGAAATGAAAAGGTGATTTGAAAATGCCCTGCGTTGGGTGTGAATTCTGCATCCCCCTCATCGATCACTTGTCATAAATAACATTAATATTCGGGAGTCAGCAGAAAGCAGGCAGAGTTGGAGAGGGAAGAGACGCAAAGTGATTTCCTGGTATCTTTTGTAGACCAGAAGGGCTGTCTTGTTTCCCAYTTAGGTGTTCAGGCGAATTTGAAATTCTCTTTTTCCCTGCGAGAAGGACCTGGCTCTGGCATCCCAAGGGAGAACGAAAACATGGCAGCGACCTGAAGGAGGACCCAAGCTCTTGTGCCCCATYCCTGTGCTCTGCCTGTCACCCTCGGGCTGCTTGGTCCTCCATCTGCTTGGTGCTCCGGCCGTGGGGCCAGGCTGGGCTGGCAGCAAAGCCACCCGTGGGGCGGGCGATGCTCTCTGTGGGGCTGCCTATTGCCACAGGGATGGGGCAGGAGAAGCTCAGCTCTGAGATGAGMACATTTGGATGCCCCTTTAGGTGCCATGACATTGAGCGTTTGGGCGTCCCCCTCTCCTTGGCGTGTCACAAATCCCGGTGCTTTGATTTGGTGAGGAAAAACAACCTTGGTTCTCCGTGCCTGTTTGTGGAAGAGGTGCCAGGGAGGGCTGCAGCAGCCGGGGCCAAGACAGGAGACTTCGGGTTGAAATTTTCTGCTGACTGGTTGTTTGCTGGAGGGATTTGCTCCCGGTTTGTTTTTAAATGGCTCTGTTGCTGTAGATTATAGCTCTAACTGGTGTCAAGGGCACCTTGAGTTCTGGATCACCTTCCTCTAGGGCTATTTAACTCTCAGGAAAAGATGCTGTAGAAGTAAAGTGGTTGCCAAATATGGGGGTCAAATGTGTTTCGGACCTAAGTGTGTCCATGAAGTGTCCGTGAGAATCTGCATAGGTGGGAATGAAAAAGTTCAGCTCCTGGCTTGGGGACAGAGCGAGTCCTGCTCCGAGCTTCCTCCCAGAGACCCAGGCTGTTGTCTCCTTTGCTGCCTTTATCATTTGCAGAGCAAAATGCAAAGCTTGTATCTGAGCACGATGAGTGCAGCTCGATGCTGCAATAGCCTCCTGGCCAAAGTCCATGGGATGTCCCAATACCCATGTTCATTATTCCCCTCTTCCCTCTTTAAGAGATGCTGCATGCCATTAAATTTATAATGCTCTGCCTGGCTGCAGTAGTTACCATGCAACAAACTAAGGAAATTGAGGACGAGCAGCATACTCGCCCATGTCTGAAGTGTTGCAGAATAGATTCAGTAGATTTGCATGTGTGGTGCATTTGTGAAAACCCTGGGAAAAAAAGAGGGGAGAGAAAACAGGGGGGGAAATGTTTATTCGTTATYAGTTGATGAATAATTGATTTACAAACCTTGTCTTGTTAAACATGAATTAAATTCTCATTTGACACACTTTGTAATTTAGAAGTATAAGCACAGCGTGAGTGAACAGAGCTCCTCACTGACTGCTTCCATGTGAATCCCAAGTAGCTGGGGAAGAGGGTTTGGGTTTGGAAGCTGAAGCTGGCGGAGGGAGAGCCGGGAGGAAGGGGCTTTGGTGCCGAAAGGCTTCAGCTCCACCTCCTTCTAGGGATTTCTGCCCTCTTCGTGAGGCCGAATCGCAGCCCAGCGGGRCTCAGCAGCCTCACCGGAGCCCTTGGGTGTCCGTGCCCAAGTCCCGTGCCAAGGAACGGAGCCCACGCTCCGCTGGAAGCAGCGGGAGCCGCTGCGGGAAGCCCTGGGCTGCCGCCGGGGCTGTCCTGCTGCGAGGCTTGGGTTAATATCCTCGTTTCTTCTTAATAGATGGGGGAAGCAAGGCCAGTAATAATTGTCTGGCTCCGAGGAACACTTAAGTCTTGATTATACTTGGCTTTGGCTGCTTTGGAATAAGTAGGGAGGAAATGAAATGGAAATGGCATACTACTTAAGATGCTTGMATATGTGAGCACGAGATAAGCCTATAGGTAAAGGAAATTCGTTGCGCCTCCCCTCTCTCTTCCCCCCCCGCTCCACTTTCCCGATGCTAATAGACT